TACCAGTCAAGTATGAGTACTGAATGGAAAATGCTTAGACATGCAAAGAGCCCAAAACTTTGGCCTCCCCTTCAGTTTCTCAGGAAGTATCTTAAACAGATGCTCTGCCAACATGAGAGAGACGCACAGAAGAGAAAGAGACACCAACAGGATTCACAGCAATTGTAGAAGGACAGTTCAGGACAGCAGCTCCATGACATACAGCTCATAAAGATGAAGCAGGTGACAGACTATCCAAGGAAAGATGCTGCAAAACAGACGATCTGATACATCTGAGCCTCCTGAGATCTCATCACTACACAAGGCGTGATATGAATTAAGTACTGATCGAATATCTTGATACATATAGTATTGATAGGACTATCTTAATTGAATAAAGAATGTCAATGATATGTGAAAAGAATATACACATAGGAAGATGCGGGAAAAGTAGAAATATGAAACCATTGAGGTTACAACTAACTCTAGGAAATCCATACACACCATTTACAGAATTAGAATGAGGTGAACACTAACAGGAGAAGTAAAGTTAACTAATTTGGGGAGTACAGAGGAGGAAAGAGGGGCACAGCGCGTCACCGAAGGCAGAAGCCGATGCGGCAAACCTGACTCCCATGTGCACTGTGAAATGACATCTAAATGTGCTTAAAACCTTAAGAGGTGGAAGAGCATCAAAGACACTGGCTCCTAGCTACATTTTTTGGTAAGGGGCGGGGAGAGCCAAGCCCTCCTGCCCCAGGCAGCTGCTTCCTTTAACATATTAACCTCTTTCCTAAGCACTGGCAGTGTTCCTGGGTTGGTATCCTCAGGAAACTGAGAAATAAGTGCTCAAGTCACTTTTGTGCCCTATGACTCATGGGGAGCACTGGTCAGAAAGGCAGGGTCTGAGGGGTGGGGATCAGTCTGGGAAGGACTGTGGCCAGGACCCTTGTTTTCCTCTATACCTGTGGTGAATTCGGCTCTTTAAATGATGTACAGGTTTTTGATAAACATCAAGTTAAAAATAAAGATAATAGTTGGGTGTGGACACACCTGTTATCTCACTATGCAGGAGGCTGAGACAGGAGGATCACAAGTTCAAAGTCAACCTAGGAAACAGTGAAATTATCTCAAAATTTGAAAATGAAAAGGGCTGGGGATGTAACTCAGCACTCCCCAGGTGCAATCCCTAGCACCACAAAACTGAAATTAGCATCGTAGTAAAATGTAGTAAAATAACTCTGAATACAGAATATTTAAAAACAAGGAACTGAAAGGTCTCAAAATAGTTTCTCTCTAGCAAAAGCCAGAGAATTTTTAAAAAATAAATGATGGAATTTGTTAAATAGCAGCTATTTATGCTGCACTTCTATTTATATAATATACATAAGCAAGCATTATGAAGTACCCTGAAAGATAATAAATACAACCTAACAATTTGTAAAAGATACGATAATGCAAATCTTATTCATTCAAATCTTTTAACAAGAAATCTTTTTAAACTGTCTATATTCCTCATTTCAACCAAGATGTATTTTGGCATCAGAAATTTACAGTGAAGACACAAAAGAAATGCAACTTATAAACCCCGTTTTAAAGAAGTATATTGAGAATGTGCACACATAATTCCACTAATGTGTTCATTTATGTTCTCTCAGATTTCCAAACAAATCTTTATATTTTCTTTCAAAAAATGGTTTTTAAAAACTCTTTTCACGACTAAAAAGATGGTAGTAACAGGCAAGATTCCTGAGTAAACCCCCAGAGGTGAGCGAGCTCAGACGGGGCAGTGGAGAGGGCATGGACAGAGTTCTGGAGTGACACGGGCTGGAGTTCCCATGGTGGCTGGGAGGATGCGGTGCCTGCTGGGACAGGACTAGGAGAATGTGGCTCCATTTTGGGACCCTGGCTTGAAGTACCTCGGGAACCTCTTGAGGAAGAGGCCCAAGGAGCTCTAGGTAGGAGGAGCTGGACAGCAGGAGAGAAGCTGAGCTAGGGAAAGATTTGGAAACAGGCAACACACAGCTGTGATAGACGAGCTCCTAGGAGAACCCAGAGGAGCTGACAGCAGATCATGGACGATCACAATTCACGTTCCCAAACCGATGGGGCTGCGGTGGAGCACAGAGGTTAAACACCTGCTCAGCACCACAAAGCAAAGTCAAAGCAACCAAACTCTGCCCATACTGACAGGTCCTTCCACAGAAAAGTACCCAGCACAATGTAAGCACTGTATAAGCACATTTTTACAGATAAACTGTTTAAAACAGCGTTAGCAAAAGCACAGGCAAAAACATGGAAGAATATATATAAACCGTTAATAATGTTATATACTGAGAACATGAGTATGCAAGCCTCTCAAAGCTACTTTGTGCATCTCTATAGTATTTTACTTTTTAAAATTAGCATGTGTTTTTGCAAACAGGAAAAAGTAACAGGAAAAAGAACTTTGTTCTTTTTCTTAAAGCATAGTATGTTTACTTACAACATAAAAAGCATAGTATGTTTACTTACAACATAAAAGACAATAAAAATGTGTTGTATCTACACAGCTAGTAAGATCATGTAAAACTGTTCAGAAATGCACCATCAAAGTAATTAATGAGAATTTAATCTAGTAATTCTCATTTTGGAAATTTATAAAAATAATTCAAAACCACTGAAACTATGCATACAAAGGTATTTTGCCAAGTCATTAGCTGAAAAAATATCTAAATATCAACACTGGGACACGACAGAAAATTATATAAGCACCAAAAGTAATGTTTACATCCACTGTCTATCAAAATACAAATGACGTGAAATTAAATAAAATGACATACTCTATGACCTAACATTACAGAAAACAATAGCATCTGGGCAGAATATATCCCAAAGAACTTTCAATGCTGCAATGCTTCTAATAGTGTAAAACTATAACAGCACGTCAATCCAAGAATGTTAAATCAGCTTTCTCAGACTGTCATCTGAGGACTCCCGAAAGCTCTCAAGAGTCATTCAAGATCTCCAGGACTTTGCTTTTCCAATTGCATATCCACTACGCAAGATGGGTTCCTTACAGCTTGAACGTCAACACAACAGCAGCCCAGAATGAACAGAAGGGCAAAAAGGAGAATTCAGCTAGTTTCTTTTCTTTCTTTTTTTTTTTTTTCAGCTGGTTTCTACGGCCAGACAATAAAAGCAATTTGCCTAAATGTAAAACAATGCCACCCTTACCCTTAAATGTTGTTTTACAAGATATGGTTTTTTTTTAGTTACATATTTACATTTGTAGGAAAATGGATGGATTTTGAGACCAAAATACTAAGTGAAATAAAGTAGACACAGAAGATTAAATATTACATGGTTTCTCTGAGTGATCCAATACATAAATAATTGAAAGAGCAAAATAAGAGACGTGGTAGGAAACGGCGGGGCGGGGGTAGACTCAAGCGGAAGAGAGTGCGCAAGTACCAACTATCAAGATGCAGCATGTATGTGCACCAATTCCCCAAGATGAACGAAATTATTAGGTATCGCAAACACACACTAACCAAAAAATAATTTTAAAAAACTTGGAAGCTCCGCTGGGCTTGGAGGCACACGCCTGCAATCCCAGCACTGGGCAGGCTGAGGCAGGAGTACCGCTTCGAGTTTGAGACCAGCCTGGACTTCAAAAGGACCAAAAAAAGAAAAAGTTTGGCAGCTTCTTTTAAAATTGAATATATGCTTACACATAAAAATGGATACAATATTTAGTGGTTTTATCATTATTTTTAATTTTCCAAGTTTTTATTTCCAAAATGGTAAATATGCTTCACTAGGGAACAAAAATTCTTTTGTGCTCAATAATTTTCAAATATGGTTATCCTCAATCAAGTTAAATGAACTGTAGTGCTACCATAGTATGTCACATTATGATTAAGTATAATAATTAAATGACAACTCAGCTTTATCTGCAATGTAAGTATTTCAAAAGATTTTTGTTCATGTATTATGGATGTAATGAAACAAAGTTAAGTTTGAGGATTTTAAAAGCATAGGGAAAACAAGCCATTCAACTGTATGCATATAGGAGATTATCAATTTAATTAGGAAAATGCCCCAGCTAGTCAGTAGGCTGAGGCAGAAGAATCACAAACTCAGGGCCAGTCCGTCAACTTAGCTAGACCCCTGCTCAAAATAAAAAATAAAAAGGACTGACGACGCAGGAGACAAAGAAAGGGAAGCAAGAAAGCAAAGAATTAAGGAAGGGAGAAAAAATAAAATATAAACGGCTGTTGACTACCTGTTGGAATTACGATTACTTTTCCCTACTCCTTACTATAATTTTCAGGTTTTTTACCACTATGTAATTTAATATTCGGGGAGGGGGTTAGAAATTAGTTCTATTGGATCAAACCATTGAACTCTGTCAATGAGACAAGCTCCCACACATAAATGATGGAACCTAATCAGATCAACAAGTCAATCTCAAACATCGAGTTATTCAGCATCGCACATCAGAGCATGCACCCGCGTCCTCTGCAGTCACCGCGGTGTGGGCGGTGCGGCGAGGCCTTCCCCCACCGAGGCCGAGACGAGATGACCGCAAGAGTGCCTCCGCACAAAAGGGGCCTCCGCACAAAAGGGGCCTCCGCGGCCGCACGCAGTGAGCCCCCCCAGCGCCCCGCCCCTCGAGGCCCCGCCCCCGGCACTGGATCCCGCCCTGAAGACCCCGCCCCTCGGCACCGGGCCCCACCCA